ATTCCCTGTGTTTCCAGTTCCTATCTGTACCTGTGTCCATCCTCTGGTCTAGCCAGATTTGTAAGGTGGAATTGGGATCATGAGAGTGGGGGGTGGGGGAGGAAGCATTTAAGAACTATTGAAAGTTGTATGTTTCATCGTTGCTACCCTGCACCCTGACTGGTTCATCTCCTCCCCGAGACCCTTCAGTAAGGGGATGTCCAGTTGCTTACAGATGGGCTTTGGGTCCCCAATCTGCACTCCCCCTCATTCACAATGATATGATTTTTTTTGTTCTTTGATGCCTGATATCTCTATTGATTCACGTCTACACCTTTAGCCTTTCAATATATTAGTTACTTCTGAAATCTCAGTAGTAATCTTTTAGATTCCTATTTAGTGTAGTTGTTTTAGTGGTGCTTTTCATTTTATATTTATTTTGTCAATTTGTTCTTGTAGCGTTTTCTTGAATTCTTCTAATTTTTTTCATGTTTTTCTTTTGTGGATCTTTCTCTCAATCTATTGAAGGAATCTAAATAGTATTATTCTTCTGAATTCTGTATCAAGTAGTTCCAATACTATCTATTCCTAAGAAGGGTCTTCTAGCTCTGTGTCTTGGTCACTGGTTTGAACCACTGTATCTTGTTTCTTCATGTGAGCTGAAATCATCCGCTGGCTCTGAGACAGTATGGGGTAGTTGTATTTAATGGATGGTCTTACGTTAGTGAGAACTCTCCATCTGTCTTCTGATGCATGTGATGAAGAAGGTGAATGTGTGTGTACTTCTGCTAGCAGTTCATGGAGCATAGTTGTGCATGGCTTTGGTTTGCATTTATTACTGTCTATGGATAACCAGAGGGCACAGGAGCAGGTAGTAGCCCTTATCCAATAGGTGGGGGCTGCAGAAAGTATGGATGGGGCTGGGCTGTGTGGGCACCGTTGTTTTCTTCCATCTGCTGAGATAAATAATAGATAGATTAGATTAAAAACAACAGCAACAATAATAATAAAAGATAAAACAGAAAAATAATAAAAAATAATAATAAGAGATAAAACACACACAAAAAAAAAGGAAGGAAAGGAAAATGAAAGGGAGAGGACATCAAGGAACGAGAAGAAGTAGCAGTAAGCAAACCTAGTGAGGGGAAAGAAATGACAGAGAAGAGAGCAATAAAGTAAAAAACTCGGAGAAAAGTACGAACGGGAGGGAAGTACAGAAATGCGAAGCAGGAGGAAAGCAGAAAAAGAAGGGAGAATAAGAAAACAAGAAGGGAGGGAGCTGCTGGCAGGGTACCTTGTATAGGTCGGCACCTTTTGCCAGTCAAGGAGCTCACAAGGTGGGGAAAGTGGGGAGGGTGGGGCCCCTGGTTCTAGGTGGGGTCCCTGCTGGCTTTTGTTCTCCTGGGTCAGGACACTGATCTGGAAGCAGTGGGTGCCTCCACAGCTGGTGGCTGAGGTCAGGGGTGGGCAGGGAGCCCGCACCGTGTCTTCTGTCGGTCTGACTGACCACACTTTGGGTCACCAGTAGCAGGTGAGGAACAGGGAGGGCTCTACCAGCTGTCTTGAATGCTGCTTGAAAAAGTTCAAGATGGCAGCTTGTGTCAGGCCACCTGGCAATTCACCCACCTGTCTCCTTTCTTTGGCTACTTTTGTTCAACTTCTTCTCCTAGTATTCAATCCATTTCTCTCTTTTCCGCTGAAGCTCAGGGTTCCAGGATTATTGTTTGTGTCTGTTTCATTTGGTTTCTTGTGTCCTTGTTGTAGAGGATTTGTGTAGTGCATCTGCCCAGTTCATCACTTTCCTGGAGGCTTTTCAATTTTCTTAACCTAAGGTCTCAGACGTTTACTTGTGTTTTATTGACTATGCCAAGGCATCAAACAGTGTGGATCTGAACAGGCTATGGATAGCCTTGAGAAGAATGGGAATTCCAAGACACTTCATTGTGCTCATGCGGAACTTGTACATAGATCAAGAGGCAGTTGTTCAAATAGAACAAGGAAATGCCGCATGGTTTAAAATCTGGAAAGGTGTGTGTCAGGGTTGTATCCTCTCACCATACTTATTCAACCTGTCTGCTGAGCAAATCATCAGAGAAGCTGGATTGTATGAAGAAGAATGTGGGATCGAGATTGGAGAAACGCCTTATTAACCACCTTTGATATGCTGGTGACACAACCTTTTTTTTTTTTTT